TCCACTCTGATTGAATGTAGTACTTCCCTATAAGAACATAAAAGCAACAGAATTTTGAAATATTTGTTTTTCTTGTTAGGATACTGTTGTGCATTCACGATAAGACTAAATCATTAATAATTTTACCAACCTAAATATAGATCTATTTAAGACTTAACTCTTAATCGTTAACTACATGTATTAAAGCAATATATAAAAGGCAGTTTACTGCCATTGATGTATGGTATAAATTTTGAATTTCAAGAACGTAAGTAAGAGATCAACCAAAATCAACATTAAAGAAAGATTTCTACTTGAAAATCATCGTAGATTCACTTTTTCTTCTATGATGTACAACCGATTATTGGCTTTTTATAAAATTATTTTTAGAAACAAATGTATTTTTAAAGGATATAGAAGTTTATATTTGAGAATAGAAATTATTTGATTCAATCAATACGATGATTCACTTTAACACATTCGACACAATTCGATTTTATTAGAGAATAACTCTACATATTCATTTTCGTGTGCACTCATCTTTCGATAAATGCACTCCTTGGTCTTTTCATTCTGTCTTGATCTGTCGTTTTCTCTTTTCTGTTCGTAACATCACATGAAGCACAGTAACTATTCTGCAGTTTGGCGAAAGTCTTGTGAGATCTTTTCTGCATGGCATGCCATTCGAGAAGCTGAATCAGCAACCTATTTCATGTGCGAATTCACTGATCGCAAGCTCGAAGAAAAGGAAAGATCTACGCGCAATGTCGATAGACACTATACTGGCTGCTATGCGAAGGGAAGGGCATAACAATCAAGAGAAGCGAGCTATGCGGCAGCAAAGAAAGTAAAAACCTTCTGTTCTGACTGTGATAAATGTTTTTGTCTTGATCGTTTTAACAAGAAGCATCATGCTATGGAATAGAGGACTCAAAAAAAGTACTAAAGGCAGAACAGATAACACATTATGTTTAACGTCCTATCTAATAAAAAAGCAAAAGAGAATGCTTTTCTATACAATTTCTCGTCAAAATATAGTGTGGCCCACGAGTGGGTTACATCGCGGCGAATGTGTTAAGCACATTTTCCAAGGATTATTTTTGAATGGTACTGTTTATATAATGAAAAATTAAAGATAGTATATACTCTTTTTTATTGTTCTTATTGAAATGTGTTTTTCAGTCGCTTAGTTACCATGATAAATTCTTTTTCTTCTTTCACTTGATGAATCCATTACGATTCGAATAAATCACTCGTTCTTCGCAACTAAGCATCATTTAAAATATTGAGAAAAAGTTTGTCGATACAAGTGTACAATTTGACTCAGTTCAGGAATTATAAAAATGCAGAAAACGATAATAAACAACTAAAAGTTTCCTTATATGCCGATGTCTAATTTAGATACATTATCAGGCATTCTTCAACTGAATCAAGAATTGATTTCTCTGCATATGCTTAGAAGCAGATTTAGCAGTTGGCATCTATGATCGTGTACAGACGTGCTAAAACTCATGCAGTCATTCATCTTATCTATTCAAGTTTTGCTAGAGTGACACTCCAATTTTCCTGTTGAATTCAATTCTATGTTAATTGAATTTTGTATTGTTGTACTTTCCTTAGAACAAGACTTTATGTAAGATCAGAGACTCGAGTAAACCTCTTAAATTAATAACAGATATTCTTAGGTATGATCACTACAATTCAATATCCTATTACTATTTATTCTTAGTAGAATAAATTTTGTTATATTATTTTGAAAAATTTAGTAAATTTTGAAAGGTTTTTTTGGTATTTCAAGCTTATCTTTAAAGAATTATTTCATAATTTCTATACCTGAGATGAGTTAAGATTAGTATGACCACTAATTCTTTTGATTTCAATATTATCAGGTGAAGTTGTCATTGGAAAGTGAACAGTTGATGCTATGAACATTGACATATTAGCTGTGGTAGAGGCACCAGTTCGTTGTGTTAACGAATGATCAAGTGTCGTAATTATATCTTGATCACAAATGTTTGGTTTTAGTTTGACATGAATAACAGGCACCTCAAAACGATACGAGAAGATCAATATATGGCGAACTCAAAACAAGGGCGTAAAGTTTAGTTTTAAATTACTTCTTTGTTTTGATTTGAACTTTTATATTGACAGATGGATGAGTGTTGATTTAGATGAGATTTTATTCGAGTAACTTTGATTCCAGCAAATCTTTCAAAATTTTTCGCAGATATCGACATTCTTTCGATTTCTCTTAATCAAATCAATAATAAAATACAACAATACAGTGACAATGGTGTATTTATAGTTTTTCTTTCTATTGGGTTGTTGGCATAGCTGTTCGATTAAAAAGGCAGAAAAGTACGTGCCTCTTTAAACTACAAGTT